TGACATGGTTAGTAAATATCTATCTATCTATATATATATATATCTATATGTGTATACTCTTTTTAGTTTGTTAATGGGCTACCATTTCCAGAAGCTAAAAAAACAAGCTTCTAGAAGCTAAAAACCAAGTTTTCTAGAAGCCAAAAAAACAAGCTTCTAGAAGCCAAAAAAACAAGCTTCTAGAAGCCAAAAATTTTGGCTTCTGGGGTGCTAAAATAAAAAATACTGGAAGCTTGTTTTTTTGTCAGAAGCTAAAAAAAGTAGCTGGCAGACAGTTTTCAGAAGCTAAAAAAACAAGCTGCCAGACAAAAAAACAGCTGGCAGTCAAAAAATTGGGCTTCCAAAACTGGCTTCCAGGAGGGTGGGAGCCAAAAAAACTAGCTGGCAGATAGAAAACAAAGCTTCTCGGAAGCTAAGGGAACAACTCCGCGAGCACCGCCTTGACCTTGACGGCATAGCGGAGGCTCTCCACACACAACAGAGCACAGACGTTCCAAACAAAACTACCCATGCCCGAGCGTTCCACGCTCCCCTCATCAAACTGCTTATCGACCAACTGCAAACCCACTCCCCAGCACCTGCGGAAGGCTCCGCCCTACGCGCCCTCAAAAACACCAACGACGAACTGGCTCGGGCACGCCAGAAACTCCACGACCTCGGCAACCCGCTCACACCAGTCAAGCACACCGGCCGATCTTCTGCACCAGCCGCCCCTTCCCACGCACCCACACCACCACCACCAAAACCACCAGCCATCACCGACGTCTTGCAACCACCGCACCCCACCCTGCAAGATGACATCCCCGAAGGCTGGAACTAACCAGATATCCAACAATGGGTCACTACTTTTGACCCCGTCATCCAAGAAGCTGCGAAAGAAGTCATCCGACTGCTGCAAACAAGCAAAGTCACCACGCAGCAGCTAAAAGAAGCAGCCACCAAGTATGGCCTACCCCTTAACCGAGTCAACCGACTCCCCATTCGCAGCCTCCAACAGCTGGTGGGAGTCGGAGCAGCCATTGGTTGCTGACTCGCCATCGTGGCCCAGCAGCAACCCAGCCACACCAACCTCACCCAACTTTTCCACCTACACCGCGCACTTTCCATGCTCATCCACCGCACCCAATACATCGACCGCGCCGAGGCCATCTTTGCAACCGGCCTCATCCACATCACACTTCTTTTTGCATACCCGTCCAACACCCGTCGCTCACAACAATGGCGCAACCGCCTCCGCCAGCTCCACATTTTACCCCACACCTACCACTACCACAACTTCCTCTCCTCCAATTCCGTCTACATCAAGCTCCACTTCAATCCCGACCAACCCCAACGCTGCTACCATCAACATGGCCACTTCTATGTTGGCTCCACAGCTATCGGCATCCCCCACCGCAAGCACAATCGCCGCGCCAAACTCAAACAACTCCAGAACAACATTCCCATCTCTGCAGAACTCTCCCTACGTTATTGGCATTCACACAACAACATCCACCACTACACCACTATTCAACTCACCTCCCATGACACATACGACCAAGCCTGGATCCAAGAGCACCACTACATCGCCAATTGGATGCCTTCACTCAACTGGCCTTTCATTTCCCACCACCTCAAACTCAAAGCTCAGGGATGGCAGTTTGCAAAACACAGAGCCCACTTCTACTCCAGACTAGCCACCCACAAACGACTTTTCCGACGCCTTCGACAACGCCAGTACACCCTCAGAGAACCACACCTCTACACTTCCACTAAGCATCACGCCCTCCAACTTCTTCGCAACCTTACCAAACACACCGCAGCCTCTTTTGAGGCAGCAAAACAGATAAGAAGCGGCCGCCACACGGACCTCGAGGTGTATGCAATCCGGCGTATGGCCGCAAATTTGGAGGAACCTGGCCGCAGCCGAGCTCTTCACATCCTCAACAAAGCCTTGATCTACCGCAACCTCACGCCACCTAAGCCAAACATCCCACTGACAGTGCCCTTCTTGGCCCATGACGACTTCACCAAGCACTGCCAACAATGGCTTCGTACCACCATCCAGCAGCACAAGCATTTCACCATTCCCCTCCACCTCCCCTCCCACAGACTGAGGGAAGCCGCCCACAAAACCCTCCGCTCCCACCTGCACAACCATCGCACATGGGAGGACACCCTCCACTCCCCGCCAGATCCAGCAGACCTCCCCTGTGCATGCGATCATCTTCGCACCCTCCTGCGGGATCCCGATACCCCTACCATCAATGGCCACTACATCCTTACACTTGACCAACTCCAACTCCCTACACACCTCAGCATTTTCCTCAACGCCAATATGAACAGCACCTATTACCCAAGCAAAGCTCGTTATTTCCTCATCTTCACGACGGCCTACACCAAATGGCTCAAACTACAGGGGCTTCCACCATCCCTAGCTCAACACCTACCGCCTTTCCTTGAGCACCAATGGCGCCTTCACAACACACACCTCAAGCAGCAACCCCGTTTTACGGCCCGCCTGCTTCGTCAACTCCAAGAACATTTGGGACAACACACATTACTCCACCATGCCGACCATGAGCTCCAACAACTCCGGCTGTTTTGCCCTCGCCAATATTTCACTGGCGCCTTGAACACCTGGCAATCCCCCGAACTTTTCGAACCACTTCCCTACATCACTGCCGCCAATATCCACGACCACCTGGCCGCCACTGTCCCCCCCATTTTGCGCACTCGCTACAAGTGGGGCTTCCGAAAAGACTTCAACATTCCATACGGCGTTGTCCACCTAAAAGAGAAGAAGCACTGGCAAAAAGGCCGTACAATTATTTCATACTTCCAATCACTCAGTGGTAACTTGCTTCGCATCACCAGCCGTGCCCTTGACATCATCCTCCAACACCTCTACCCTCAACATCCCGGCCAAATGTCCATTCCCCAGCTTTGGCACCACTTTCACAGCTACCTTACCCAAACACCACCAGACATCTCACTACACGCCACTAACGATGACCTGGTCGGCTTCTTCAACTCAGTCCCACAGCACCGACTCATCGATGCAGTGCACTCCCTCGTCCACCACTGGCAACAACAGCAACCCACACACACCTTGACGGTGGATGTCCAGGCCACCGGCAATCCTTTCCACCACTCACACATTGGCAGACACCATCGGAAACACCCTACCCAACGCACTATCCAAACTTCCGACATTACCACCATCGTGGCTTTTGCCCTCAACACATGCATTTTCCGGGCTTGCAACAATACTTACAAACAAATCCGAGGGGCCGGGATTGGATCCCAGCTCTCTCCAGCCCTATGCAATGTTGCCATCACCCTCATTGAGCACTCCTAGCATCAGATCCACAACAACCTCCTTCAACACACAGACCTCTACTTTACTTACTATCGATATGTCGACAACCGCTTCATTGTCCACAACGAACATTTCCTTCAACACCCGGCTATCCAAACCCTCATCCACCACAATTTCTTTGGCGACCCAGTTGAACTCGAACCGGTGGAGGATTTTCATCTCCTCGGTTTCAACATCGACCTCCCACAACGCACCATCACCTACATGCAACCTTCCCAACCCTGGAAAATCCGGGACTCCACAACCGCCGGGAGCCAGCGCTTGGCTCTATCAGGCCTCCAATCAAGACTCCACACCATTCGAAAATACACATTCCCACCCTCCAGCGCTGACGTTGCTGCGGCTGAACTCGTCAACCTATATGTCCAAAAGGGGCATAACTACCACGCCTGCCACCGGTTTTTGAAAAAAGCGCCGACTGCGGCGACCTGTGTGTGTCCCACCCTGGACAAAGGGTCTCACCCCACCACTTTCACACAGGCAGGGGGGCAGTGATCCCTTCAGCAGCCACTGCCTAACAAAGACGCTGCTGATCGGATGTGATATTCGGAGAGGACGCTCTCCGAACGTACCTGCCGAGTTTTCCACACGCTGTCACCCTACTCTTCCACTTTTTGATTCATGGTCCTTCATGTTTCCACCCCATAAACATTCGTCCCCAGCAGCTGAGCAGCCAGTTCGCTTTTCCGCCGCTTGCGAGTGCCAACATTGTTCAACAATACTGTTTCAGCTGACCTTTCCACCTTGCTGTTCCATCGCCTTCCTTCCCAACGTGGCAATTGCATTAACTGAAAATCCAAGTTCGAAGTGTGTCAAGAATTCTCTGAGAAAGATGAGAAAGCAGCTTTGAAGATAATGTGCAGAATGTGTTGTGGGTGCCTTGTCGCCCGTCGCCATGGACTGACGCCCAGCCCCTGCAAAACTCTCCTGGCAGGAGACTCCAATCAGATCACGGCCGCACCCCTGGCATTTTTTTCCTTTGCATGAGCATATAGTTGAGCCCTCAGCGTATCTAATATTCTTGCGTCTTGCGCTCTTCTGGATATCAAAATCAGCTAGACTTCAGCATCTGCCGCTGGTCCTACCGAGACCTCCACCGAGACCTCCACATGGATGAACATGGCTACAAGATGCTATAAGTATTCGTGTGTTTCTTTTTTTTGTGGGCTCATGTCCCAGTTTTTCGGTTCTGGATCATGGTTATCGCCCATGGGTTATATAATTGATTGATTGCCTTGACATGCCAGGCCCACCATCATGGCAGTGGACAACACTTGGGGAGGTTTTTCTTCCAACGAGGGCGTTGCTGCCATCCGTTCCGCATCCCAAACGCCCTCGGGTCTGCACGAAAAAAACAGAAACACACCTCCAGACACTCCATGACAACTGGAATATATGCCGCCCCCATTGACCCCCGACTTCAACCACTCCAACTGGATCGGTCAATATGGCACACACACCAGGAACCGGATGACAGGCTTGTTGGAGACCGGCAACAGGTGGTTTTCACCTGGGCACCAGGCGTTTTTTCCAGGAAACACCTGGCCAAGTCTGGTCCGGGGCTCACGCCTGGTTCGTGGCGACCGGCTTCCCCCCAACGCCGCGCCCGTTGGCCGCGGAGCGGTCGACCGCTCCCAAGGCACGACGTCGTTGTGGCCGAGTCCTGGAAGCACGCCGGTCACGGAGCACAGACCTTCCATAGCAATTCCTAGACTTCCGTAAGACCATTAGAAGAGCTCGGGAAAGACCTGGTGATGTAGTGTAATTAACATCCACTAGTTGGTTTCAGGGGCCTGGAAGCCTACGGCTCAGACGGGAACAGATGGTACAGCACCGGGTTTGTCCTGGTAAAACTGCAACAGTCGGGAAACAATTGTCTCTGCAACCTAACCATCATCATCCACTGGGCCCTGGTAATAGACCCAGTTCAGCTACAGACCAAAAGGGCCAAAAGAGATGTGGTCCTCCTAACTCGCCAACAGGGCTTCCAAGCAGTGGCCAGGCTGGGAAGTGTCCGAACTCCACTAAAGCAATGCTGCGCTTGGGGTGAACTGGGAGGCCAGGTTTGCTGTAGCATGGCTTCAGAGGGGGGTTATGGGGATACCGCCTTCAGATGGACCTCATGACCCTGAACATGTCGTGTCACATCGAGCGTGTTCCATTTCGACCAACCCAGTCTGTTTTGAGACCAAGTGGTCCGCCCTGCATGAGACTTCGGACCATTGGTTCGAGTGGACCGGATCAAAGAGGCCGTCGGGCCATACAGGCCTCCAACTACGGGGCGGTTTGCAGGAGAGTTTGGAGGGATTGGAGTTGATGGTACCCAGAATAGTCACCTGCATGGATGGGTCATAAATAATATACTTATATAGATATGTATATGACTATGCCATACATGGATGGTTTGGGATAGACTGCCACATGCCACAGATTCGTCAAACAGTTCATATCCTCGACTCGCGCTGGCAAGAAATTCTGTTCAGACATACTTACGGCCTTTCGGTGGGATGTTTTGATCTTCAAAAGCCATCTCCAAAGTCACGTTCACTTACAGTACTTCCTGACCCTGCCTCACTGAGTTTAGCCTTGTAGTCGTGACAATGGCTCCATGAATTTGAATGGGTGTCCTGAGGCCCCGCGTGGTGCCGGCCCTCACCAGTCATGAGACACATCAGTTTGACATGTGTATGTATGTATGTATGTATGTATGTATGTATGTATGTATGTATGT